TCCGGTCTCCGGAAGAGTTCCGCCCCCAAAAGAGAACCACGCCCCCAGCTTCCGAAGCCCGGCCCCCAGAGCGACCGAACTTGAAACACTTAACAAATTTCTTCCCAGTCTTCCTTGTCGTTACAGATACCGGAAGTCTAAGATTTGAAGAACACGAATCCCCAACGCCATTTCAGGTGCTCTTGGAGAAAGCAGCCAATTAGAAAGGAGCTTACTTTACGTAAAACTTGTCGCTCGCTGATGACGCGATGCTGTTGCCGTTGCCTTTTGATAGGGTGTCTTCCTTCTTGAGTGATTTTTGTCCCAGCCAATCAGGAGCCCGTCCGGAAGTCTCTGGTATCCCGGCTCTGGCTGCCTCTTTTTAAGCCTGGGTGTGGAACTGGTGTAGCCCCAAAGAGATAACTGTTCGTGTCAGACCCGGGAAATTATTAAATTCTCAAGAGCTTGTTTCTCTTTACTTTCTTCTCATTATAAGGGAGAAAATGCGCAAAGAGACTCTGGTCTGGCACTGAGAACACTGATCCCGACCTTCAGCCCCTGCCTGTCCAGCAGTACAGGGATCAGGGTAAGACCGTACCTTAGGTGCATAATTTAAGGAGACACCCAAAAGCTCAGTAATCAAGGTAAATCATGCATATCCTAATTATATATTTTAAAAGAAAGTTGATGCAAAAACATAAGAAGTATCTATTTTTGACTTTTTATTACACTTATCTATTTTATTACATTATTTGTGGGGGCCGTGTACACATGCCACAGCGCTCACATGGTATATGGTAGTCAGAGGACAGCTTTCAGGAATTAGTTCTTTCCTTCCACTACGTGAGTTTTTGGGTATCAACTCATGACTGGCCCGGGAGCAAGTTACTTTACCCTCTTGCTGACCCACAAATATTTGGAGTTAAGAGTGGTAGAGTGTCTACTCCATGCGCACAAGACCCTATTTTCAACCGCAACGCCAAAAATAAAATTAAAATAAGGGCAAGATCCATCGTCCTCTTTGACCAGATAGGCCTAATGCTTCCCTAAAGGTCTTTCCCCTTCTTGGAAGACTAACCTATCTTGTCATCCCCACAGCATGACTCTTGTTTATTTATTTTTGTTGAAGATTGAAGCCAAAGACTTATGCAATTGATCTACCTTGTAACTGCACCCCTTGCTCCTGGCTTAATTTTCTGTTTCATAATTCAGCAGCAAGCCCAGCCTGAGCTACAGAGCAATGCCTGGTCTCTAGTAGAACAGCATGCTACTTCTTTTGTGAAAGGTAAATAGCAGTTGGAATGTCATCATACTAGTTTAAACTGGCCTGACTGGCCTGACTGTAATCTGGATTTCTTGGGCCAGATAAATGGCTAGGTTTCAGCTTGGTGAACTTCATTGTGAGTAACTCCATTTTTCGTTTTTTGTTTTTTTTTTTCTGGTCTGTTGGAGCCTTGTGCAGGAGCTTAACCTAGAACAGAAGCTTCCCCTGTTTTATATTTCATACTTTTTACACTATTTTAAGATTTTTTTAGCCAGGCTGTGGAGGTGCATGCCTTTAATCCCAGCACTCAGTAGACAGAGGCAGGCAAATCTCTGAGTTCAAGACCAACCTGATCTACAGATCAAGGAGAGCTAGGGCTACACAGAGAAACCCTGTATGGAAAAAACAAACAAGATTATTTTTAATTGAATTTTAACATACAGAAAAGTGCACACATTCTAATCATAGCTTGATGGGTTATGAGCCCATAAGGTGTAATAATGTGACTGACACCAGATTGAGAGCCAGAACACAGTGAGTAACCCAGGAGTCCTCTGCCCTACAAGTCACTCTCCCACTCTCTTATTGAGATGTAAATATTAGTCTCTAATATGTCATTGTGTTTTAAGCCTGTCCCACAAGACCAGCAGGCAAGCCGAATGCTGCCCCGAAGCCTATTTTGTGTGACCCACAAAAAAATAAATAAACAAATAAAATAATAAACAATTTATATGTAGGGCTTCAGAACCACCAGAGCAGAGGTACCAGGCAGCTGTGAGCCATCTGACATGGGTGCGAGGAATCTGATCCTCTGCAAGTACAGCAAGTGTTCTTAACCACTGAACCATCTTAAATGGTAGCATATTTAATATTTCACTTGTTCATTTCTTTTTAAAAATATATTTTTGTTAATTCTTTGAGAATTTTATACACTATATTTTGATCACATTCCCCTTTTTCTCCCCCTAATCCCTCCTAGATCCACCCCTTCACCCCAACTTCATGTCCTCTTTTTTTTTAATCTGCTGAATCCAGTTTCTGTTGCCCATGTACTTATAGCATGGTGGACCTACCAGGGGCTACACCCTTAAAGAAAACTGACTCACCTTTCCCCAGAAAAAACGTCAACTGTCAGGAGAACCTCAGTTAGCAGTAGGGGCTTCTGAGCCCTTCTCCCCTCGGGTGGTGGTTTGAATGAAAAAGACTGGGGGGGGGGGAGTAGCTCTATTAGGAGGTGTGGCCTTGTGGGAGAGGTGTGGCCTTGTCACTGGGGGCGGGGTTTGAAGTTTTAGATGCTCAAGCCAGGCCAAGAGTCACTCTTCCTTTCTGCTGCCAAGGATCCAGATGAAGAACTCTCAGTCCCTCTCCAGCACCATGTCTGCCTGTGGGCCGCCATGCTTCTCGCCATGATGATATCAGACTAAACCTCTGAACTGTAAGCCAGCCCCAATTAGATGTTTTCCTTTATATAAGTTGCTGTGGTCATAGTGTCTCTTCACTGCAATAGAAACCCTAACTAAGACGCCCCTCTATGCTAGAATTTTCTCACTGGCTTGGTCTTGTGTCTTGGCAACCACTGGCTGCTCTGAGTTCATGAGTGCTGTGGTCCTGTCATGTCCAGAAAACACTGTTTTGCTCTGATCTTCCCCGACCTCTGTCACTTACAGTCTTTCTGCCCCCTCTTCCACAATGGTCCCTGAGCCCTGGGGGCATGTTCATATGGCTATTTTTAACACTTTAATGGCACAGTTGAGTTGTGACCGGGATCATATTGTCCACAACACCCAAAATATGTATCTGGCCTTTTACAAAAAAATTGTGAAAAAACTGTAGGTTTCATGAAAATGGTGGGGTGCAGGGATAGTCTCGTTCACTCATTTCCAGAGTATCACATGGTGCCCAGCATCCAGTGGGTACTCATAAGGGATTCCCAGAGCATCACATGGTGCCCAGCATCCAGTGGGTACTCATAAGGGATTCCCAGAGCATCACATGGTGCCCAGCATCCAGTGGGTACTCATAAGGGATTCCCAGAGCATCACATGGTACCCAGCATCCAGTGGGTACTCATAAGGGATTCCCAGAGCATCACATGGTACCTAGCATCCAGTGGGTACTCATAAGGGATTCCCAGAGCATCACATGGTGCCCAGCATCCAGTGGGTACTCATAAGGGATTCCCAGAGCATCACATGGTGCCCAGCATCCAGTGGGTACTCATAAGGGATTCCCAGAGCATCACATGGTGCCCAGCATCCAGTGGGTACTCATAAGGGATTCCCAGAGCATCACATGGTGCCCAGCATCCAGTGGGTACTCATAAGGGATTCCCAGAGCATTACATGGTACCTAGCATCCAGTGGGTATTCGTAAGTGATTTACCTTTCTGGTTTTTCCTTTTATTTATTTGTGTATATGAGTGCTCTACTTGCATGTACACACCTTTATGCCAGAAGAAGGTATCAGATCCCACTATAGACGGTTGTGAGCCACCATGTGGTTGCTGGGAATTGAACTCAGGACTGCTGGAAGATCAGCCAGTGCTCTTAACTGCTGAGCCATCTCTCCAGCCCCATTTTTTTTTTTAGACAGGATCTCTGAGCCCAAGATAGCCTTGACTTGCTATGTAGCTGAGGATGACCTTGAACTCCTGATCCTCCTGCCTCTACCTCCCGAGTGCTGGGAATTACTGGCATGTGCCACCAGACCTGGTCTTAGCAGTGATGGGAACTGACTCCAGGCTCTGCTGCATGCTAGGCAAGCGCTGTACCAACTGAGCCTCAGCCTCAGTCTCTAAAGAATTGCTCTTAATGATAAAATCATCAATTATCCTGCCTTGTGGAAGAAAGAGATGGAAATTCAGGTCAAACACCCAAAATCTCTACAGGGCTTCCCATTCAGAAGCAGGGTCTATGAGAGTCAATAGCATGGATTCTGGAGTCACTGAGTTCAAATCCCGAGTCTGAATTTAACAGTCATTATATTGAGAGGTTTAATCTCAACTTTTTTCTCCCTTTATAACATGAAAAAAATCATGTAAAGATTGTAAATTAGGTGACAGATAAAGACATCTAGCCTGGCCTGGTGGTGCATACCTTTAATCCCAGCACTTTGAAGGTAGAGCAGTGGTTCTCAGCCTGTAGGTCAGGACCCTTTGGGGTTTGAATATCAGATGCCCTGCATATCAGATATTTACATTACAATTCATAACAGCAGCAAAATTACAGTTTTGAAGTAGCAACGAAAATAGTTTTATGATTGGGGGGGTGGTCACCACAACCTGAGGAACTGTATTAAAGGGTCACAGCGTTAGAAAAGTTAAAAACCACTGAGGTAGAGGCAGCTGGATCTCTGAGTTCAAGGTCAGCCATCAGGTGAGGTCCAGACCAGCCAGGGTTATAGAGCGAGACCCTGTCTCAAGAAAACAACAATAAAACAAAACAAGAAACCTTCTGTTTGTGGTAAGCAAACATCAGTTATGATTGTGGTCATCAGTACCGCCACTTCCCATATACTCTGCTCTACATTAGACTCCAGGATTCTGCAGAGCCTGGAAGTACTTTGTGAATTCCTAATGCTTTCTCTTAGTTCTGTATCCAGCCCACGTCCGTAGAGTAACAGATAATCACATTTCGGGGACACTAAGCGACTTGCTCCTACTGTGCCTATAGTATAGTCAGGTCTGTCCCCAGGGCCTCTAGCTGCTGCCCTGGAATGTATCCCATTCAGGCCCAGATCAATAACAATGAGTCATTGGTCGTGTATGTGGATAGTTTTAATCATTAGCTTTGGGTATGCTGCCAGGACCCTTTTCTGACATCGCATTTTTCATAGGGAGAATTTGCAGTTTGATGAATCACACTCTCGGGCCTTAAGACCCCTTCTGAACTGCTAATGCATTTCAAATGACCAGCGATGACATATAGCAAAGCAGGAGGTGGTGGCGGCTGCCAAGCCCACCCCATCCCAAGAGGGTGGCTTGGAGCCAAAACTGCTGTCCGGGAGCCTCCCAGCAGGGAACAGAGGGCACAGACTCAAAAGGAAGAGTGAAGGGCATGTGAAGAAGCACCTCTGAGCAGAGATACAGAGGCAGAGAAGCACCTAGGGGCCGGCAGCAGCTAGAAGCCACTGCCAGGCCAGGCCCTGCCCAGAAGGAGCCCAAAGGAGAGGCTGGGAAGAGCCATAGCTGGAGGAAAGGGTCCTGGAAGAAGCTGTGGTCTCCGCTAGAGGAGGGCCAGGTGAAGACAGCAGGAAAGGGCTGTCCAGGCTAGCAACAGGTCCTCTGCCTAGGCCACACCAGACCCCAGAGACGGGTTCCTGCACGCTGCTCCTCCCAGCTCTCTGTCCATCCTATTGGGTCCCTTTTGCTAGTGTTCAGCCTCCCATCGTCAGGGAAGTCCCCCCTTCCATCCAGTGATTTAACTGAAAAAGCAGTTTGCACTCAGAAGAATGGCTTGTATGTTCTCAATCAAGGAAGTTTTGCCACTCAGGAGACATTTGGCTGTATCAGGAGACAGTTTTGATTGTCATGATTTAGGTTCCCAACATCCAGTCAGTAGAAGCCAGGGGTGTGTACAGTGCTCGGCACAGCCTGAGTGTGTGAATCAGCCAAATGTCCGGAGGGCTGAGGTGAGAAGCCAGGCTATGAACCAACTGCCCTGGCCTCCTGGTGCCGGTCAACCTTGCAGTCCCTCCTTCCGTCTCCACTGGGTACTTCCGGGAACCCTCTGCTCCATCCTCTGGCTGAGGCAGCTCCATCTCAGTTGCCTGTTGGGCTGGATCTTGGTATTGTCCCCAGCGTGGCTTCCTCCTAGGTTTGGCAACATTGGCTCCCACCCAAGTTGCAAACGGCCCTCCCACAGCCAAGCCTAGCCCTTGTCCTCAACTCTCCTATCTCACCCCACCCACCCCGCTTTGTCCATCCCTCCTGGTCCTCCTGGCCCAGCTCCAGTTCACTGTCTCCATCCTCAGTCGCCTCCCAGTAATTCACCCAGGTTGGATCCTTCTAAACACAGAACAAGGCAGACTTGTCTAGAGCTAGCCAAGGTCATGCTCAAAACTGAGGGGTGCTTTCTCCAATTTCATGCCTGAGGCATTTGTTCCCCTCTGGAGCACCTCCCTGGAAATACACTCACTTTTATCTCACTGACACTGTGGGTCCTGGGGCTGCTGAGCGTGGTCTGGCACAGGCTCCTTTGGTTGAAGAGCTAGGGGGGGCATGTCAAAAAATGACCTCACCCTGTTGGCCGTGGGGGACTAGAACCTCAGAAGGTACGGGAAGAAGCAGCAGCTTGGGAAGTATATGGCTCTTAGGCAACCAGGGAGGTCTGAGCTGAGGAGGCTGGCCCTTCTCTTTGAACCCCCTCCACCGGAGCATAGGATCCCACCTCACCCGTCACCAGCCCCCTTAGCCCTACCCTGGCTCAGATGCAGCAGAGAAAGGGATCCTGAGATGGAGTCAGCCGAGGCCGAGGTGGATCAGGAAGTGCAGCCTCTGTATTGCTTTCAGTCCTTCTCCCTGCACCCCACCCCCACTCAACTCCCCGAGAGGCCCCAGAGCAGGAGACCCCCGGGACATCAGGCACAATCTGCTCTGCTTCACCGTCTGCCCGAGAGCACCATGTTCCAGATCCACCGGGGCCACCGGGGCCAGCAGTGCAGGAGGGCCAGGACTGGGCCAGGGCGGGGAGCCAGCCTTCACTGCAGCCCCACCAGCTCGGTGATGGACGGGGCATGCACCATGAACTCCTCATAGTGACTGAGGAACAGCTGGAAGCGAGCCAGGTAGGAGTCCTCATTATAGGGCAGCTGCTTGTCATGAAGAAACTTGGATACCAAGGGCTTCACCTGAGAAAGAGTCACAGAAGGAGAGAGCCCTGGGTCTCAGGCCTGCAGCAGGCTGCCCACCATTGAGCCCTCCCTTGTCGAACCCTAGCCATTCTCTGCTGGGGAAGTGAGGGGCTGAAGTATTGGAGAGCTTTTGAATCCTTCTACCCTACCCTAGAGGGAGGAATGGCCTCTCACCCTCACTCCCCACAAGACTCTCAACTACATGCCCACCCTCCTCAGCTCCCTCTGCTAAGCATCTTCTTTGGGTCAAATATTTAGATCAATTTCATCCTCAAAATCATCAAGATGAACCCTGTCCCCTCCCATTTTACAGACAAGGAAACTGAGGCTCGGTGAACTTGCCCAGAGTCATATTGCTACTAGGAAACCCAGGTGACTCCAATATAAAACCCATGTTATTACTTGTACTCCAGGCTGCCCGTCCTGGGTGACCTTTGAAGAGGCCAGTGAGGGGACCCAGAGTTGAGATGTACCCGGAGGTTCCCCACCTTCCACCCTCGGACAGGCCCTTCCTCCCAGCCCTCTTCCCAGCCTTTGGCTACCTTCAGGCACATGTGGTCAGAGAGCCACGGGAAGAGGTGATGCTCCACATGGCAGCTGATGAGCGAGTGGCCAAATGCCCAGTCCAGCAGTGGCTGCCGTGGCAGGTTCAGCACCCCCAGGCTCATCATGTGAATCCGCCGGGGCTTCTTGTCCGGGGAGAACATAGGCAATCCGATGTGCTGTGATAGACATATGGGTCCCACCCTGTGAGGGCTTAGACAACCCTGGGTCTGTCTTCACCAAGCGTACAGGGGCCAGTGGGACCCTAGAAGTGTGAGAAAGCTCTAGACTGGGCTAACCCAGTCTGCAGTGAGCTGAGTCTTTCCCACATCTGGGCCTCTCCCCATTTGGGCAATGAAGGGCTTTGTCTATGCATCTTTTCAGAACCCTGGTATTCAAATGCCCCTGACTCACTGCTTGTTCTTGTGACCCTGCATGCCTCACACCGGTAGCATGCTTTTACTGGTGTGTCCAAGCTCAAGGAGAGCAAAGGGAGGGCCCAGGGCAATGCCATGAGGCAGAGCAAGGGCAGAGCAGGAGACAGAAGGTCTTTGAGAACAGCCAGGAGTTCGGCATTCAACGCTGGCACCATTTCCACAGGGAGACCTCGTTGCTCCCCTATGGGTGAAGACCTGTTAGATCTCTGCACAATCCCCTGGCACTGGGCACATCTGCAGCTAATTACCCCATCCTCTCACTATGTCCCATCTACTTGTCTCAGTTCACCTGAAGTACTTGTTTACCTCCAGGTAACCTAGACCCAGGGAGGTGCCTAGTGGAGAAGGTGTTTGTATGTACTGATTGAACGAAACAGTAGGAGATACATAAACTTGACCTTGAATGATGGGTAGGGTTTAGACTGGAGAAGAAAGCAAGGAGGGTCTCTCCAGGACCAGGCAAAGGCTTCATTGAAACCCAGACTTCCTGTGATGACCCACAGTGACAGGGGAGGAGCAGGAATTGGGGAAGCGTCCTTTGGTGACCTCTCTCTACCTAAAGTCTGGCCTGCTGTCGGACAGCTGTAGATGCTCCTCTTAGCTGCCTGAGTCCAGGGCTGGGAGCTTACCTGGAAGATGTTGACATGGAGATAGGGGTGGGCCAGCAGGGATCTGGCCAGCAGCATGCAAGCCAGCGCTGAACCGGGGCTCTTGAAGCCCGACACATTCAGGAGCAGCCAGTACTGAGAATAAAGGCCCAGGGACATGAAGCCCAATGTCCGAAGTGCCACCCTCAGCTCTTCCTTCCTCAAATGCTCTGTCAGAGGGACAAGAGGTGATGTAAGGGAGAGCCATCATGAGCCGGCTCCCTGGTGACCAGGAGTGTTAAAGTAGAGGAGTGCTCTGGGTGTGTTCAGTGAACCTAGACAACATGAAAAGCATATCCTGCCTTTGCACCCTGGCTAAGGTCAAGGTCTGCAGTGTGGTTTGTACAGGACATCTACAAAGTGACCCCACATACCCTGAGATTTTATGTTATAATTCTGTGGGGTGTGTGTGTGTGTGTGTGTGTGTGTGTGTGTGTGTGTGTGTGTGTGTAAGTGCTGGTACCCATGGAAGCCGGAGGTATTGATTGATTCCCCCTGAAGCTGGAGTTACAGGGGATTGTGAGCAACCCAGTACAGATGCTAGGAATTGAAGTCTGGTCCTCTGGAATAGCAGGAAGCCCTCTTAACCTCTGAGCCACCTCTCCAGCCCTTACAAAGCTCCTGTATATATGTGGGCTCCTTATATTTTCACACCATCCTTGAGCAGGTGAAGAACCTAAGGCAGGCAGGTCAAGTTACCTGCCCACAGCCACCAGCCAGTAAGTAAAGGAGAGACCTGGACCAGGTCCGGGGTTCTTTCCACCCAGCTTGGCTGCCTCGGACAGTCTTGACTCGTGGTTCCCAGCTACCTTCACAAGCAAGGTCCACAAAACTAGGAAGGAAGGAAAGAGGGCTGGGGCAGGTCGTCAGGACACCCCAATCCAGTACTCACCAAGAGCTACCAGTGGAGTTAAGATGGGGATCAAAAGCGGTGCAAGGAACATGTAGATGTAGCGGTTGAGGCACGGGATCTTCCATGTGCTCGAGTCTCCCAGGCCCACCACGTTGGTGTAACCATGGTGCATGTTGACGTGGCTGAACTTACCAAACTCTGCAGGAAAGGCTGTGCATACCTAGAGGGGAAGCCAAAAGGGCACTGGGTCCATGTCGGACACAACTGAACAAAGCAGAACCCAAGGAGCCTCGAGAACACTTCCACCCTTCCTACCCATCACTCCTGAGCCCTCCTCCTCTGCATCCACAGTAATCTAACTTGTCCATCATCTCTCAAGCATCCGTGACCCCCGTGAGGCAGCCAGGCATCTACTTGGTGTTGCTCTGCAAAGCATTTAGGGACGAGGACGTTGGATCACTGGATTGCCACTCCCTCACTGGCTACCAGCTAGGCAACTTCTCAAACCTCAGAGGTTATCTGTCAGTGCAGGTAAAGCTGGAATCTGCCACAATTATTTTATGTGTGTACCTGGCAAACAGCTGTACCTTCCTGACACTACTTGGCAGCCTGAGCTTGGAGGAGTAAGGAAAGGTTTCCGGGAGTGGTTTGAGGGTGCAAGGGGATCACTTCCTGTAGAGCCCACAATGCAGGCTGAAGGGGCATTGGGGCACTAATATGCCCAGAGCCAATATCTCCCTCGAGTGACTCTTTGGCAGTGCTACTCACCAAAGCGCAGCACACACTCTGGCAAGGAGAGCAATCATTCTGAATGCAAAAGAGGTGCTAGGTTGTTTCTTATGTAGATATATGCAGATGAGCATGCAGATGTAAGGCTTCAAGTGTTTTATCCAGGCCAGAAGATTTTGATGACTTTAGTGAAGATGCTTTCCTGTTCTGGGGAAGCTTCTCAATACCAGCTGCTGTGAGGCAGGCAGACTGCAGGGCACATGCACTGAGCACCAGATCTCAGAGTCAGGCCTGCCTTACCCACTGGCCTGCCAGGGTATGCTTTATACCCCTGGGGATCTGTCCCACGTAGAAGAAGCTAATTCCTTTTGTTTGTTTTATTAATATGTGTGTGTGTGTGTGTGTGTGTGTGTGTGTGTGTGTGTGTGTGTGTGTGTGTGTGTTGTGTGTGGGCACTCAAACGCCATGATGCACGTGAGGAGGTCAGATTACAACTTTGTTGAATCAGTTCTCTCTTTCCACCTTTACACGGGTTCCAGGATCAAGCTCAGGTCACTAGGACTGTATAGTGGCTGCTTTTACTTTCTGAGCCATCTCTCTGGCACCCAGAAGTAACTGTGCTCTTCCCCAAGGCCAGTCCTTTTACCAAGAGATGCCAGCTGAGTGCAGCGCCCTCACTGCTCACCCACAGTTGATTTCGCTTCTGGCACCTGCTCCCCCTCTCCCTGCAGCCCACTAGCAACTGTTCTTGGAGAGTCAATGCCAGAACCAGCCTGGAGCCTGACCAGGACTGTGCATCTAGAGATGGGTACCCTCAGGTACCAAGAGGCTTCTCAGAAAGGTCCCAGGCACAAGCCAAGGCCCTCAGGTGTGACTGGTGATTTGTGATGTGACTTGAGACTTGGTACCCACTTGCAGAGCCAATGGGTGATTTTGCCTTTTTCTATGAATAAGAACTTATCTGAGGTTATTTCATAACTAGATTTCTAGGTCCCCCCTTTTTGGTTGTGTGTGTGTGTGTGTGTGTGTGTGTGTGCATGTGAGTATGCACACTTATGTGCAAGTGCTCACTGAGGCCAGACTGGGGCATCATACTCCCTGGAGCTGGAGTTACAAGACTTGCAAGCTGCCCAGTGTGGAGAATGGACACTGAGTGCTCCTAACCCCATCCACCCCTCAGTCCCGTTTAGATGTTCTCTCCTGAGAGACAAAAGGGAGTGATTTGGAGGAGAAAAGAGGAAGGTGGATTGTAGTATGTAGACTGTAGTATGTAGATTGTAGTATGTAGTATGTGTGCCCATTACCCATCCACTCAAGAACAACAGGAAATGATTGATGCTGCTGAGTTACTTGTAAAATGGGTTGTGTCCTTTCTGTAAACTGTCTTCTATTTGTCGCAATTGTTTGAGACAGGATCTGGATGTGTAGCCCAGGCTGGCCTGGAACTCTCAGTCTTCCTGTCTTGGCCTCCTAAGTGCTGGGATTACAGATACATGCCACCACACCCAGCTGTAAAGGACCATTTCCAAGTCTTACCAAAGAGGTTTCCTCATCCAGACCCAGAGAAAGTTCCAGAAACCTCAAGGTTGGTGCAGCTTCTTAATACCGCTCACCAACCTCTGTGGCGGGTGCCTTCGGGAAGATTCAAGAGTGTTCTGTCTCTACAGCGTTCACACTCTGAACACTCAAGACATGTTGGGAGCAGTATGAATGGGTGTGAGTTCCTTTTGACAGCTCTTCGTTTACACTCCAGGGCCCTCAAAACTCCCATTCATTCATTTGTTCATGAATGCAGTTACTTGTTCACTTAAGCATCCTGCAGCACCCGAGGGTGTCGGGGGCCCCATGGTAGGCCTGTGGGAACACCGGGGGCAGGTGGGAAAGATCCCTCCGTCCCAAGCAAGCCTACTGCTGTCAGGACTGGGGCCTCACCACTGTCCCCCTCTTATCCTCAGAGTGGTTAAGTCACACCCCTGTCCTTTCCTAGTACCCTGAGGACCCACACTCAGGCACCTGCATTTCCCTGAATGGGGCAGCTGTGAAAACCCAGCCTGCAGTAACACCCATGTCACATTTGGGGTATATTTATTTAAAAAAACTACTGGTGGCTTATTTGAAGCTCAGTTTTTTTCCGATTGTTTTGACGAACCTACTGCTGAGGTGCCGCCACCCAGAGCTGGAGAGGGACTGCCTATTCCCGGGAACCAGCCAGAGGGTTCTTAGGGAAGAAAAGGAGCTGGGCTCACCGTAGCCTGCCGTCCCCCGCCTGAGGGACAATGACCACCACCCTTCTTTCGAACCCTGACCATATTGCTGCCCCAACTCCTGGCCCATTTCAGGAGGGGCCCCATGATGGCCTTGGCTTCCACCTGGAGACCTAGATTTCACCCTTGACCCTTCTCACTCCTCCACCCCTACCCTCTTGTGCTCGATGGCACCCAGCCAACACCCTCCTGCACCCCCCTTCCCAGCACCCCAGCCTGGGCCTAGGACCCCTCCCGTCTTCCTCCTGTTCGTAGAGACCAGCAGCCTCCAGCCAGCTTCCTGCCTCATCTACCGCAGACCCAACTAGCGGAGTGACCCAGTTTCTACCCGTTTAGGTCACGCTGCTGTAACTTCATACTTGTTTTTCAGTCCTGCAAAGCAGTTTTTGTTTGTTTGTATTTGTTTTTGTTTTTGTTTTAGACAAGGTCTCAAACTCCCTGTGTAACTGAGGATGGCCTTGAACTCCTGATCCTCTAGCCTCTACATGTCTAGTGCTGGTTACAGGTGTGAACCACCAGGTCTGGATTTATGCAGCACTGTTGTAATGTGCATGCTAGGCAAGGTCTCTACCAACTGAGCCCCAGCCCCGCTCCTGTTTATTTAACAGGAGAAAATAAACAGAGAGTTCCGGAATGATTAAAGAAGGGAATGGACAGAACTAATAACTTCAGTGATGTCCCAGGAGGAAAACGTAGCCCAGAATTTGTTTTTGAGGCAAGATCTCACTATGTAGACCAGGCTAGCCTTAAACTCACAGAGATCCACCTGCCTCTGCCTCCTAAGTTAAAGGCTTGTGGTACCATACCATACCACCCCTGGGCTTTTTAAGCTCTGTCTCATGGCAAACCTCTCTGGCTACAAGACAAAGTACCGATTCCTCTGCCTGGCACATGGGCCTTCTTGGCCCCTTTCATCTCGGCCCCTTTGAGAATCTAGTGGCTTCCAGACACCTCACCAGCTGCTCTTCTAAAATTCTTTCAGGGTTTCTCAGCCTCTACACCACTGATTTTAAAGACCAGGCTGCTTCCCCCACCTCCATCCATTTTTCAAGTGTGTGTGTGTGTGTGTGTGTGTGTGTGTGTGTGTGTGTGTGCGCATGTGGATGTATGGGCACATGGGTGAGTGTACATGTGGAATCCTGAAGTTGACGGCAGGATTCCTCAGTCACTCTTCCACCTTATCCTGTGAGACAGCGTCTCTCAGGCCAACCCAGAGCTTGCCAGTACAGCCAGTCGTGATAGCTAGCTTGCTCTGGGGATTCCACTCTCTCTACTTCCTGAAGCAGGACTTACAGCTGGGCTGACAAATCCACCCATCACTTACGGGATTCTGGAGATCCAATCTCCCATCCTTACACTTGCGTGGCAAACACTCATCCATCCCCACAGCCTGTTCATGCCACTCCTTGGGACCGGACATATTGAAAAATCTATACATGTGATTAAAAAGGCAGAGAACTAAACACATACAAGTGCCAACGTCAGCTTCCTTGGTTTTGATATTGAATGACACATAAATGTAATTACTGGAAGGAAACAGGAATGACTGATCCAATCCGCTAGACTTCTCTCCCCTGCACTGAGATGTCCTGTAAATCTGTAATTATTAGAAGACTTAAAAGTTTGTGTACAGCAGTGTATTTTGTACTGAATATCTGCATTGGTCCTCTAAATAAGATTTTAAAAATAAGCCGGGCGGTGGTGGCGCACGCCTTTAATCCCAGCACTCGGGAGGCAGAGCCAGGCAGATCTCTGTGAGTTCGAGGCCAGCCTGGGCTACCAAGTGAGTTCCAGGAAAAGGCGCAAAGCTACACAGAGAAACCCTGTCTCGAAAAACCAAAAAAATAAAAAATAAAAATAAATAAATAAATAAATAAATAAATAAATAAATAAATAAATAAATAAATAAATAAATAAAAAGAGACACACACACACACACAGAGAGAGAGAGAGAGAGAGGGAGAGAGAGAGGCCATAGTTAAGACTGGGGCACAGCTCAAAGACAGAGCAGGTGTCTGCTATGCACGAGACCCTGCATTCAATCCCTAGCACCAAAAAAGAAAAACTGTATCAGTCATGGCAGCTCTTTCCTGGTGGGAGCAAGCAGAAGATGGTGAGATGGCCTGAGGGAACAGCCTTGATGGGCTGCTCTGGACTCAGCCAGGAGGGAGCAGATGAGGATCAGGACGAGGCTTGGGACTCTCTGTGGTTTGTACCACAGGGAACCTATGGGTGGTGACAGGCCTTCCCCTGTGGGACACAGCGAGCTGCACAGGGTTCCTAGTGGATCAGCTGTGGCTCCACCCCACAGCACAAAGCCGAGTGTACACAATAAAGAACTTCGTGACTAGCATGGCTGGTTCCTGCCCATTCAGGGGAGCATCCTTGGCTGTGATACTAAAAGTTTTTCAGAGGTTAATCCTCAAATTCAGAACTTAAACCATGTGGCCTGCTCATTCTATCTTCTGGTGGTTGTCTTAGCATGACATCATTCCCTGGCCAACTCCAAGGATACACCTAGCAGCCTGGGTGATGTAGCCAGGAAAGAAAATGCGTGCTGAGTAAGACCAGGGTAGGAACTTCCTCAAGTAGGCCAGAAAGGGGTCTTCAGAGAAAACTCATCTGGTATGGGTAGGGGATCATGATTTTGAATACAGCCTAGAGTGATAGCCCTATTCTATTCTGTGCTTCTGCTCTCCAGAGTCACTGGGTCAGAGAGAGCCTGGGTCAGCTTAGACCCAGCAGGCCACAAGATAATGTGACCAGACACTGGATTGCCAAAGAAAACCAGAAGTACCCCGCTGATGCCTGGAGCTGCAGACTCTGTAGAACCCCCAAAGGAACCCAGGGCCTAAGACCAGATATTCTGCATAATAGTGTCTCTAGGAGGGTGACCGGAGAAGACAGCAGGAGAGTCCGGGATCCAGGAAGAGTCCCGTGCACCTCGGAGGTTCCCAGGCCAGGAGAGCCTGTCCTGTGCCAGGTAACCCAATACCAACCAACACCTGCACCGCTCTGCCAGGCTCTGCAGCCTCACGGTTAACAAGCACAGAACAACAACAAAACAAACCATCAAAAGCAGTCCATGCTGCCCTGCAGCTGTCAGTGTGTCCTCACCAGCTGGAAAACACAAAGCGACACCATGGCTCGTGGAAGGCCTGGAAAGTCGCACTGTCTCACCCAGTGCCCTCGCAGGGTTAATAAGGAGGCTGTGTTATCACGCTTGTGGGTTCCATGAAGAAACTAACCCCGGATATAGAATTAACCACCTTGCTCAAGCTCGGCGCCACTATTGGGGCTGGGACTCCAATCAAGGCACGAGGCTCCAAAGGCTCCAAAGACGTTGCCCTATACATGCCAGCTAGGTGGGGCTAACCCACACTCCCCCGTACTTGGGAACCAGTCCTAGAGAGGAACCAGAGTTATACCCTAAGGTTGGAAAATAGAGATGCCTCCCTGCCCAGGTCACTTGGAGGGCTGGACTGGCAAAACTACTTCTGATTGCTCACAGCTCACCAGAGCCCATGGCAACACAATCAACAGTGTAGAACATGAGGGGGGATCCAGGCCTTTCCTCCCCAGCCACAAAAGGGCATGGGTCTTCAGAACATCACACACACACACACACACACACACACACACACACACACACACACACCCCACTAGCTAACTTTCCTGTAGACCTTGTCCACAAGTGGAATGCAAGGTCATGGCCAGCAAATACTGACAGAAGAGCTGCTAAGAACTGGGTCAAGGGAAGAGGTAAAGATGAGGCCATTGAACCGAGGTCATATGGGACAAAAGCTGTGTGCAACAGACAGAACTCAGGCCTAAGGCTGTCTGGTTCCCCGGGTCCCTGTGCCGAGGTTCTGGAGGAGCTACCAAGCAGCGCAGGCCAAGAGGACATTCCAGTGTCTCCTCCCTGCCTCCACTCCACACAGAGAGGGCCCTTCTGTCCCCCAGGCAGTCAGAATCAGAAGTCCTCTTGCTTGATCAGGCATCAGTTATCTAGCGACCTGGTAAGAATGCTTCAGAGTAACCTCCACACAATAACCACCCCCACCACACACCCCCCACCGCCGCAGCTGGTTAATCTATGATTGACAGCCCCTGGCTGCCACAGGCTCCTAGCATGCAGCACCACTTTAGAAAACCCATGCAGGACTAAGCCTGCACTCTGAGTCCCAGCATTGGGATACTGTTTATACAAATGATACAGACATCACCCCTGCCTCTCCCAGCAGGTTACATACAGACCCTGACCCCAGGCTCCAACTGTGCCTCCGAGTCTAGGCAGACCCAGAGCTTCCTGGAAAGGGGGGTATTTTAAAATTGACCCTAGGAAGCCACAGCCTGTGGGTTCTTCATGCCCCTACCCCTTCAGAAGCCTGGGCTCGTAAGAAGGTATTGAGGGGAGGAGAGGACAGGGAATGCTGGGTAAGAAATGTTCCCACCACTCCACTGAAGTGGTATATCAAAAGGTGTGTGTGTGTGTGTGTGTGTGTGTGTGTGTGTGTGTGTGTGTGGTGTTTACCTAAAGCTGTATAAAAAGTTACATGATTTAGGGGGCAGAAGATATGGCTCCCCAGGTGAAAGCAATTACTGCTCGTGCAGAGGACCTGGGTTCCATTCACAGCACCCATGTTGAATGGTTCCAGTTCCTGGGGATCTGATGCCCTCTTCTGGCCTTTATGGGCACTGTATGCATGTAATGCAGACATAGACATGCAGTTGCACATGCATACCCAAATAAAAGGAAGGACCTTCACAATCATTCACCAAGTTCAACTTGTGGTCACGCCTAAAGGCCTGAGCTGGATCCCCAGGACCCATGTGGTGGCAAGAGAAAACTGAGAACTAATCCCTGCATGTTGTCATCGGACCTTCGCTGGTGTGTCATGGCACATGCAACCCCCACCCCATAAAACAAACAAATAAATAAATGTAATAAAACAAAAATATATAAAATTTAAAAAACAGTGACACAGCTTTATAAAAAGATAGTGATTGGGTTGGTTGGTCCCAATAACGAGTCCTTTCCAGACATACCTATTCCTGCTAGCAGCTTCCCCATCTATTCCTGGGGAACCTGGGTGGCTAGTGAGGGTCCCCCTGGAGCAGAAGAGAACAACTTTGGCAGAGGATCTGGGGCGGCCTGAAGAACAATTGTCCAGTGGCCTTTGCCTTCCTAGTGGCTCACGGGTGAGAAGGAAGAGCAAGGAGAGGTGGAAGGAGAGAGAGACAGCAGAGCCCTTCCTGGAGGGTTAGAGGAGCAAAGCATTTCTCAAGACGGCTCAGCCTGCTCTCCCACCTGGCTCAGCAGGTGGGAGAGCAGGCTACAGAGCTGGAGTGCTGCGACATTGTCCCCAACCCCCACCCCCTCCCCCGTCTGCCCTTCAAACAATGAGCCATGATTGCAGGACCAGAGGCTTCTGTGAGACACACAACCCCAGAGCAAGACTGGCCAGTTGCAGGCCTCCTGGACGGAAGAAGAAACTCCACCCACCTTAGGCCTAGTGCTACAGAGAGCATTGAAGGAGTCCAGGGACAGGGAAAATGTTTCTGCCGTTCAACCGTTGAAGATTATCACAAGATAAGCCAAGTTAATTGTCAAAGGCAGACACCAGGCTCTGTAGGATGCAGGCCCACTCACTAATGCCAGCTTCCTCTCAAGGGCTTGGAGGAATACATGGGCGGGCACACACACACACACACACACACACACACACACACACACACACACAGAGGAACTGTGTCGTACACTGCCCACTAGGCAGCAACTGCTTGCCAACATGGATGGACACATAGAGATGCCCACCCAGCAACTGCCTATCCCACCTCTGCCAACCTCACCTCCACAAAGAAAATCATCAAGATCTTGTTCCAGCGTTTGGACTCTGTGAGGGCACCGTGAGTGGCCAGGTGACTGCCCTTGACCGTGAGTGTGTAATGGCAGATGCCCAAGATTGTGATGCCAGTGGTAAAGGCCAGGACACTATGGAAGCGTAGGCACAGGAACCCTGCAGAGAGGAGGCACCAGGGATCAGGATCTTTGGCCAGCTTTTGAAAATATGGGCCCAGACCAACATGCACACAATTCCCCAAACCCCAAGCCAAAGAAGGCCAGCCCTGGGCCTGTGGCAGGCAGGTTCCTGGGCCTGAGAGGGGTGGGTTGGCTCTCTGCAGGATTTGGGACACCAAAGATCCCCCCACGGGCTTGCCAACGATATTCTGCTGTCCACATTCTGCCAGGTCACCCTCCTGAAACCCAGCCAGAGCAGAGATGGGGACTGGATGTCACAGAGTGCTTCTTCAGTCCCACTCTGCCCGTCTCTGGCGTCCCCCTCAAATCATGCTCTTCCCTTCCATCCACTCAGGACTCCTTCTGCAACTTTTTTCTCCACCACTTTCAAGCATCGGGCTTTCTCCCAGCTCCAGCGGGACATGGAGTAGACTCCCTCCAACTAGACTTTGGAGACTGAACTGGGATCCAGGGTCCTAGAGTCCTGAAGTTCCCTTCCAGCCTGCACCACCTTCAGCCCCGCGCCACCCCCAACCGCAGCCAGTGCCTTTGTCTCACCCGCCGGCAAGGCGAGCAAGCTGACAGCGAGGACGGCGCAGTCCACACCGCGGCGCTCCCACCAGGAGCTCGCCCGCACCACGTCCTGCACCTGCCGCTCCAGCTCGCTCAGCAGCACCTCAGCAGCGCCGTCCCCCGGGGACGCGCTCTGCTCGGGCTCCATGGGATCCCAGGACGCACGGGGCTGGCGACAAGCGAGGAGGACCGGAGAACTCGGGTGTGAGCGGCCGCTGCTCCGGAGAGAAGACAAACGCGCGGGGCGGGGGGGGGGGGGGGGGGGAGCGGAGCGGGGCGGAGTCACGCACCGAGTTGGGACACCACCAGCCAGAAGTCACCGTGAGAAGCTCCTTCTGGCACGGGCAACCGTGACCCGTGACCTAGGCGGGGCCTAAATGCAGCCTCCCTGCCAGCCCGCTGCACCAGAACAGCTTGGAGAGGGAGGAGCCAAAGCGAAGCCCGGGGGTTGTGGGGGGACCTGGGGTGGTGACCCTGAGACAAGGACCAAACTGAGGTAGAGGAGACAGCGCTGGGGGAAAGCAGAAGGCCCGCGAAGGCCTTAGCTGTTCATCCACCTCCTCCTCGCCCTCTCCTCTCATCTCCACCTTTGGTTTGTTCTGCACTCTTAGGCCCAAAACCTGAGTATTTCTCCATTTAAATTTTATTTCATTAAATTATTAATATGTGTGTGTAGATGTGTGCGGTGTCTATGTGGAGTTCGGGGGCTTGTGGGAATCAGTTCTCTTTTTCCACCATGTGGGTCCTGGGGAACTCAGGTCACCAGGCTTGGCAGCAAGCGCCTTACTGCTGAGCAGTCTGTGACTACTCAGGATCTCCCTTGCAACATGCATATTCATCTTTGGTATCTGGAACATAAGTATTTCTGGATTGCTGAAGCAGAAAACCTAGGGACTCACTTTGCAGATAGGGAGTGTGTGTGGGGGTGGGAGGGTGGGGGGATGGGGGGCCACTCTGAGTGCGGTTTTAACAGAAGTGACTTGACTCCCCTCTCTGTCCCATTTCATCTTCACGGTACTCCCCCCCCCCCCCAACTTCAAATCAAAACCTTTTTTAAAAAACTGACTGGGTCTGGTAGGGAGGAGACAGCAGCCTTTTCCCAGGAGACCCTTGAGCACCTGTCAGGGAGAGAGGCATGATTTTGATTCCCCTCCTGGAGCTCTCCTTCATGGATTCAGCTATGTTCTTCCAATTTTGTGTTTGAAGACATGGTCTGGTTTGCAGTTCGGGCTTCTCTCAATGGATTGTGTAGTCCAGGCTGGTCTCACTCTTACAACCCTGCCCCAGCTTGCCAAGGACTGGGATCTGTGGCCCGAGATCAAGAGCTCCTTACCAGGCCAGTGTTCTCCTTGAACTGTCCCCTCAACTTCCACACACTTAAGAGGCTTTGTGTATTCCCAGTGACCCCGTGGAAAGGATAATCTCCCAGGTAGATGTAGTTCGGATCTTCCTTTCCAACATTTTGGTTCTGAGGATCAAACTCAGGCCATCAGGCTTGGCAACTAGTGAGAGCCTTGACCTGCTGAGTCGCTTCATCAGCCCTTCATTTATTGATTTGTTTTTATTTCATGTGCTTGAGTGTTTTGCCTGCATGTACGGATGTGTACCAGGTGAGTGTCTGGTGCCCATGGAGGCCAGAAGAAGGCACTGGATCCCCTGGTACTGGAGTTACAGACACTTGCAAATCACCAGGTGGGTGCTGGGGACTGAACCCGGGTCTTCTGTAAGAACAAGTGCTCTGGAGCCACCTTTTTTTAAGAATGAACCCTGCTCATTCAGTTTATGAAGGGGCTGGACACTGGTGGCACACACCTTTAATCCCAGCACTCAGGAGGCAGAGCCAGGTGCATCTCTATGAGTTCAAGACCAGCCAGGTCTATAGAATGAGTTCCAGCACCACCAAGACTACCCAGGGAAGCCCTGTTTCAAAAACCATCCAACGACTGAGGGATCTGGATGCAGAGATCCATGACTAGGCCCTGGGTGGATCTCTGGGAGTCCAATTAGCGAGAATGAGGAGGGTTTATATGAGCGAGAATTGTTGAGACCAAGGTTGGATAAAGCACAGGAACAAATAGCCAAACGAATGGAAACACATGAACTATGAACCAATGGCTGAGGGGTCACCAACTGGATCAGGACCTCTGAATGGGTGAGACAGTTGATTGGCTTGATCTGTTTGGGAGGCATCCAGGCAGTGGGACCAGGTCCTGTGCTCATTGCATGAGTTGGCTGTTTGAAACCTGGGGCCTATGCAGGATCGCTTGGCTTGGCCTGGGAGGAGGGGACTAGACCTACCTGGACTGAGTCTACCAGGTTGATCTCAGTCCGCGGAGGAGGCTTTGCCCTGGAGGAGGTGGGAATGGGGGGTGGGCTAAGGGGAAAGTGAGGGGGGCCGGAGGGGGGAGAACAAGGCAATCCGTGGCTGATATGTAGAACTGAATTGTATTGCAAAATAAAAATAAAAAATTTTAAAAAAATTAATGAAGATTCAGAGAAATTAACTAACTGATCTGTGCAAAACCCCACAATTACTAAATGACTGAACTAGAAACCAAAGCGCCTGCAAATCCAGTTCTTTTTGTCAACAAATGGTCTTAGACAGAGAAGGGTGCTGCGCTTCTCCCTCCCTCCCTACCGCTTGGAGTCCCTCCCACCAGACTAGAATTGTCAGGGAGGGAGATGTACAAGTCTTAGAAATGTAAGAGTAGTAATACTGAATTAACTGGGGAGGGAGATCTTGCTACCTTCATCATACATGGGAGGAAGTGCCTGGTGCGGCCAAGCCTGCTACCAAGCCCCAGCTACCCTGGTACCCTCTATAATAATAAACTAAAGGGGGAAAGGGCTGAGCGGGTGTCAGCGGAGCTTGGGGGAAGGGCCGGAGGGACGGCTCAGCAGCTGAGAGCACTCGCTGCTCTTGCAAAGGACCAGTTTGGTTCCCAGAACCTCCATGACAGCTCACAATCCTCTGTGACTCCAGTTCCAGGGGACCCGACATTCTTTTCTGGATGCTACGGTCACCAGGCACACATGTGATGCTCGTGCGTACATAGAGGCAAAACATTCATAAACACAAAACTTTTATTTTTAGTTGAAGAGGAGACTGGAGGGGGCAGAAAGCAGGTGAGGGGGAGCTGGCCAGTAGCTCTCTGGAGACAGGTGGACTTGGTTTCAACAGCCTTGACCCAGGACAGGGAACAAGACATTCTGCATTCTCAAGGCAGGGGGAGAGCAGAGAGGAGCAACGGAAGGAAGGCGGAAGGAAGGCGGGGAGAAAGACAGGGGGCAGGGACTGGAGGTCCCCGCAATGACAGGCAGCGACTGCAGGAGCCACAGGAGGCTTTAGACCAGAGGAGGGTTTGTGTAACGTGTTTAGGGAGAATTGTCTATACAAGAAAGAGATGAAGGCGAATCTAGAGAGTGTTTCAAGATGCCCAAACAAAGAGGTACCATAAGCGTTTAGCTAGCAGAGGCAGAAGTTGTGGGATATACGGAGACAAAGGAGACATGAACAGTTGGTGATCAAAGAAAATACACAAACGGCCAGGAGAAACATGAAAGCAGGATGTAGATGAGTAGCCTAGGGAAATGTACCTAAAATGAACCACTGACCTCAGTGCTGGAGAAGATACATAGCAACTGTGCTAATCAACCAAAGTGTGTAGTGATGTGACCCCTTCAGAAAACAGTTTGCCAGGGCTTTTGGTGTTGGTTTGGTTTGGTTTGGTTTGATCTGACGACCCAAACCTGGGCCTTGCACTTGCTGAGCAAATCTGTCACTGGACTATAACTCTAGCCCTTGGTTTGTTGAGATAGGGTCTCACCATGTAGCTGAGGCTGTCCTCGAACTCACAATCTTCCTGCCTCTGTCTCTCAAGTGCTGGAATTACAAACACACACCACTAACCGAATGACAGTTTTGTAAAAGGTTAAATATATACCCACTGTGTGGCCTAGCCACTCAGCTCCCAGGTATCTGCCCAACAGGGATGAAGATGTTTGTCCACAGTCTTGTGCTTAGTGGTCATAGCTGACTGGAAATGGTCTACATGCCTAGGGAAACGGACATGTGAACCATGATGCATTTCTACGGCATGAGCAGTAGAACAGAGCCACTGGTCCAGGCAACAGAATAGATGGGTGGTCTGACAGATTGAATTTCATAGATCTGTGTTAAAGGAAGAAGCCAGACTCAAGTTCTCATTGTAGGATTGCGAATGGGCAGGACCAAAACACAGTGATGCAAATTACACCAGCAGCCTTTATGTATGTCATACCTTAACTCTAACTTGATGTTTTTCTTTGTTGTTTTTTCTGAGGCAGGGCTTCTCTGTGTAACATCTCTGGCTGTCCTGGAACTCACTCTGTCGACCAGACTGGCCTCAAACTCACAGAGATCCACCTGCCTCTGCCTCCCAAGTGCTGGGATTAAAGGCGTACAACACTACTGCCCAGCTTAACTCTTTCTTTCATGTGACATTGGGACTCAAACTCAAGGCCCCAGAACGGTGGAGGAACTATTTAGCATCGAGCCTGCAATTCTATTTGTTTGTTTGTTTTCTCTTTTTTAAAATTTTGGGCGTATACACATATATATGTATGCCCAAAATTTATATACATCTGGATGGTCATGAGCAACCATGTGTGTGCTGGGATATGTGTGTGTGTGTGTGTGTGTGTGTGTGTGTGTGTGTGTGTGTATTTATTGTTTGTTTTTGTTTTTGGAGACAGGGTTTCTCTGTGTAACTGCCCTGACTGCTTTGGGTTGGTCTCGAACTCACAAAAGATCTGCCTGCTTCTGTCTCCTGGGTGCTGGAATTAAAGGGTGCAGCACCATCACCCAGGTTTATTTTATTTTTTTAACTCTGTGTGTGTGTGTGTGTGTGTGTGTGTGTGTGTGTGTGTGTGTGTGTGTATGTGTGTGTGTCTGTGTCTGTGCCTGTGTGTGTGTGTGGATATATGCACATGAGTTCAGTTGCCGTCAGATACCAGAAAAGGGTGTTGAATCCTCCCTGGAGCTGCGGTTATAGGCAATTGTGAGCGGCCCTACATGGGAACTAAAAACCCAACTCAGGTCTTCTGTAAGAGCAATACAGGCTTTTAACAGTTGAGCCATCTTTCCAGCCCATGCCATTCTGTTTGTTTGTTTGTTTGTTTGTTTGTTTGTTTGAAATTAAATTACTGTAGGGCTCAGCAGTTGAGAGCACTTGTTATTCTTTGTGTTGCAGAGGACCTGGCTT